GTGCAAGTTGGTTAGATACTGTGATGCTGACTATGCAGGAGACCATGATACCCGAAGATCAACCACTGGGTATGTGTTCAAGCTTGGGTCGGGAACAATTTCGTGGTGCAGCAAAAGATAACCAACAATATTACTATCAACTATAGAAGCGGAGTACAAAGCAGCGACTGTAGCAGCTCAAGAAAGTACATGGCTGGTACTCTTAATGGAGGACTTACATAAAAAATTTAACTATGCTATACTACTTCATTGTTAGAACCAATCTGCAATTCGGCTGGCTAAAAATCCAATACTTCATGCTAGAACAAAGCATGTGGAAGTGCATTATCACTTCATCAGAGAGAAAGCGTTGATGGAAGAAATTGATATGTGACAAATCAAGACCGATAACCAAATAGCAGACTTATTCACCAAATGGCTGAGTACTAGAAAATGTGAAGGTCTTCGACATCAGCTCAACACGGTACGAAGAATGGGGACTAGTGTTGAGGGGAGTGTTAAAGATCATCCCTAACCCAATAGAACCAATATTATTATCTAGAAGAAGTTAGATTGTTCTAGAATGCTCTAGAAATCTCTAGAACATTATGGAAGACTCCAAAATAGACCAGAAGAGTCTAGAATACTCTAGAACAACATGGAAGATCCTGGAAAGTTATGGAACATTCTAGAAGACATTGGATCATCCTAAACTTCTCTAGGACATGGTAGAATGGTCTAGAAACATATAGAAGCTTATAGAGTATGATAGATAGTTCTAGAGTTATCTAGTAAGTAGTAAGTGTATACTAGTATCTAGAACCTTCCTAAGAGGCCTATAAATAGGTGTGGAGCTCATTTGCTCCAAACCATCCAAGAAAAGCCTCAAAGAAAGAAAAGTGTAGTAGTCTCTGAAATTGTAAGTTCTTCTTAAGTGTCATAATAAAAGTATTGTTGTTTCCCACATAAAGAGTGATGTTCAACAACAAAAATTGATGTGTATGTAACAAATCCAAAGAAGAAAAGAAAAAAAATGAAAGCGTAATGTTTTGTGTCCTTGATGGTAAACTAGAGAGAGAGAGAGAGGTTTGGGGCATGGAATCATATCTTATCTCCTATCTGCAAAACATCAAAATCGATAGTGTGGTTTAGGGCTTTTCTATTCGAGATCAAGAGTGATTTTTAAGGCTTGAAATCATTCTTTACCTTTGAAATTGGCTTGAAATCTAAGGTTGTTTCTTATCTACAAAATATCAAGATCGAGAGTAAGTTTCAAGGATTGAAATCGTAGAGCTGTCTCTTATCTGCAAAATATCAAGATCGAGAGTAACCTCAAATCTGCTAAACATCAAGATTGTTAGTGACATTTGAAGCAAGAAATCGATATCACAAGTGATGTTTATGTCTTGAAATCGTTGCTTACCTAAAATGTATAGTGTGAGTTGTGTTATTCGTTATGGTTAATGGCAGAATGAGGGGGAGTGGTGTGAGGTAGTAACTTGTCCGACGGTAAATAGGGTTTACCAGAGGTGAGATGTGCTGGTGGTAGTCTGGTAGATGGCAACAACGGAGAGAGGATTAATCAACGACGATGTCTTCATTTCCGCCACGAATAACGCATTTGGCACAAACCGTCATCGCCATATCCATTTTGTATTTCGATTACATCAACTCTTCTTTTTCCCTAACCTAATTCACCCTAAATTACAGAGAGGATTAATCAAAATCAAACATACTTATTAACCCAATCGATTTAATGAATAAACCGGTAAATACAGGAAAGGAGGTGTTTACTTGGTTAAATGAAATCGAAAGCAAAAAATGAGAACGGGAGAAGAGAGAAAGATTTATGATATGGTGGAGGCAACGAAGGTGTGATGGGTTAGCTCCATTTGTGATTGATTGACCCAAATTGAACGTAATTGGCGCAAAGAAAAAGCTCATTTTCAAATTTGATTTAAAAAAAAAATTTGAATTGCCCGCTTAATTGTCCATTCCATCTTCTTTCATCAGAAAATTCAATGCAAAAACATGTACTTCATGCATTATAATTTAGACGACTTAATGTTCAACTTTTTTTTTCTTATTATCCTCTAAATGGTTATTAAGGTATATATATATATATATATATATATATATATATATATATTCAAAGAGTTATGTTTCTATTCAATAGATCCAAAAACTTAAAATTAAGACAGTGATTAAGTGATAGAATTAATAGATTTTATATGTTATTGTTTTATATGTGTAGAGTTATAGGGACCAAGCCTCTAAACTGGTTGTACTTCGACTAAAATGTCATTCAGTTTAACTCTATAATGTTACTATAATGATTCTTGATTGTATTTTTCTTTTGGTCCCTTGTACTCTTTTCCCTCTCCTAGCAACTTGCTAGGGGCGGTTTTTTCTTTTAATATATTCATATCGTTTGCCGGTTAAAAAAAAAATATGTAGAAGTATAAATACCAAAAAAAAATAGAAGGATATTAAATATTTCAAAAAAAAATTCAAATTTTAAATAAAGTAAACATCAAATTGACCGGTCATTAAATATTTTGGTCAACCTTGAATTTGGAATCGGTCAAACTGTAGTTGTGTTACTAATTACTAAACCAACAACTTTATTTTTATTTTATTTCTTATATTATTATATCCTATTGATAACAAGTTGGTTGTCATCGGCAATATAAACTTAAATGCTTAAATATTATGGGGAGTGGTCATATACAAACCATTCAAAAAGTGTTGGCATCTCAACGACACGTCAACTCTATAGAAACTCACTACCAAACTACTAGACATTAGAAATGGTTATCATTCCATAATATTTATTTTTTTATTTTTTTTATTTTTTTTATTTTTTTATCATTAAGTTAAATTAAAAAAACATATTTTAAAACATAAATAAATATTTTACATTAATTAAAACCACATTGCATTAATTAAAAAACATAGAATTTTAAAATCTAAATTACTAAAAAAACATTGAAAAAAATATAGAAAAGTAAACTTAAATTACTAAAAAACATAGAATCTAGTTGTTATATTTTTCACGAAATTGTTGTTGAATTTTTAAAAACGCGGCTAGATTTTTCGGGTCGAGATCCGGTTGCAGCTTTGTGTTTAAAATTTAAAGATCGGTAAGTGTTATTTTTCAGCAACAAGCTTCCTCCATTGATTTGATTTTTTTCTAAAAAACTTAGAGTTTTGTCTATATTTTCCGCTAGTACGTCCTCGGTGGTCGCTTTTCCGCTTGAAGACACCACCTTTCTCATTTTGTCCCTTCCCAGTGGTCGACGAAGTTTGACGTCTGGTGGACCCTCCCCCTCGGTGGTGTCGAAGTCATCATTGAGGTCGAGGCCAACACCCACGTCCGACTCGAAAACTCTTGGCCTTTTTAGAGCCGGTGGTAGACCCCGAATGCGTTGTTTCCGGATAGAGGACCCATTTCGGACCATTACGACAAGTTTCCCACGCTTTTTGGTTGCCGAATGGTTTACCATTGTCACTAATTTTGTATTGGTAGCACCCAGTTGATAAAAATGTTGAAATCATTGCTATCACTTTTGTGCATATTTTTAAGATTGTCAAATATTTCATTAAATTTAGTGCAAGTCGTTAGAAGGTCACGTCATTTTGCATTGACCGAGTCGTATGTTTTTCTTCCTAATAACGCGTGAAAGTTGTCTAAAATACGATTACAAAAACTTTGACCCGATTGCGCGTTGCTGACATCCCCGTCTTGCGATATGAAAATCGAAGCTTTAGCTAAAGCTTCCTCATCGTCTTCGGTCCAGTGCGTAGTTCTCTTTATTGGATCTTTTGATTTTTTTTGCCTTCTACGATTTTGTTGTGTTTCTTGGACCCGTTCGTCGTCGTCGTCATTGTGGAGGTTTATAAGTTGGGATTGAGATAATGGGACTTGAGATGGTTGTGAAGGTTGTGCGTGAAATTGTTGAGGTTGAGAAGATTGGGGTTGAAATTTTACAGAATGTTGTTGTTGAAAGACTTGAAATTTGGGTTGACTGAATTGTGGTTGTCGTTGTTGGTAGTAGTTTGAATGGTATGAAAGATTGGTGAATAAAAGTTGTTGTTGGATTGAAGATGTTATCAATTGCATGTAACTAAGATTTGCAAATGGATCATTTGGAGTGTTTGGGATGTTTAGAGTGGGTGGGGTATTTTAATTTGGATACATAGGTTGAAGAAAATAAAGAATATGGGAAGAGATTGTGTGTTTTTGTAGTGTAAAATGTATGTAGAAAAATATGTAAAAGTGTATGTATATATATTATATAGAGAAATTAATTTTAAAATTGAAAAAGATTTTTTTTAATAAGACAACGCTCAAAAAAATTGGCCAATCATCATCCTCGTGAGCGTCCGCCTTCATGAAGCCATCACACCCAAGCCACCGGCCATTGGGACGATGTTCACGCGTCCCTTGGCCGGACACGTCAGCTTTACGCGTCTTCTTTTATGTCTTGTTAGCCTTAGAGTTATTGGAAGTTGGGAAATAGTTGTGAGTACAAGGTCAATGAATTCATATCCTTCATTAATATCCATTGTCCCATAGACGATGGGATGACTTTTAGGTCCAGTCCATTAAAAATGGAAAAAGAAATAAAACTAGAAACTTAAATTAATAGAACTCTTCTAAAGCCGACGACAACCAGACCATTCTAGTAATTTGTTAATATTACCAAAACTTGAGAAAGACTCCCATTTAATTTTATATATATATATATATATATATATATATATATATATATATATATATATATATATATATATATATATTCCTCAAACAAAAAAGCAATAACTCTTGTCTGTTGACCTTTTTAAAAAACACAACCTCTTGGAGAAAGAATACTTGGGTGTGGAATGTGGATCAGTCGATGTCATTTATAAATGAATTAAGAGACGAGGGTAGACTTTGTCAAAACAATGTCATGTTGACTTGAGCCTCAAAAACTTCCTTATATATAACCTTCAGAAAAGTAATCGGCCACAGGGAAACATCTTGTTAAAAGTCTTTCACTCATACTATATCAAGAAAGCTCTCTCTTTGAGTTGAAGATGGACCAACCAAGCAATGCACCTTTATCCTCTCCAGTTTCTGTGATAGGGTCTCGGTTCATGGCACCATATCAATTCGATATTATAGTTGATATAATTACAAGGGGAAACCTTGTGGTTACAGATATTGACCATAAAATCATGCTACAAGTGAAAACATGCGACACATCCTTTCATCAGCAGCGAGTGCTAGTTGATGCTGATGGCAAACCCATCGTTCTAATGCGTGGCAAGGTAACTTTAAGTTCAATTTTTAATATATTTTTGTTGTTGGGTTTGAAATTTTGATGCTAACTTCTAACATTGGTATGCACTAATTTATTGTCCAGATCATGAGTGAACACGATAGATGGAATGTATTCAGGGGTAACAGTAAAAGCAAATCGGATATGATATTTACCACACAATCACCTCACATGATCCAGTTTAAGACCAGTGTACAAGTGTTCTTGGCAAACAAAACCAATAAGAAGAATGTTTGTGATTTCAAGATCAATGGAAGTTGGACGAACAGAAACTGCACTATTAATATGGGAGATACTTCAACACCAATAGCCCAAGTAATTTTCATATACCTTTTAGTTGGTTTTCTAGTAAGTTCATAAACTTAAAGGTGGAGCTTAAACTAATTAATGGATTTATTCTTGTAGATGTCTAAAATGCAATCATCGGAGGATGTAACAAACAAATTCATGGTGACCATTTATCCCAATGTGGATTATGCATTTGTGGTCATACTTATAGCCATCGTTGAGGTTATGAAAATGAATAACTCTGACATAAAAGATAAATTTGCACAGGAAGTTATAAGAGGTTTGGGTGACGTTGTAGTTGGTGCGCTTCTTTTATAGAATTACTGGATGGATCAATGGTTTTACAGAATCATATCATCTTTTCACATCGTGATGGATATGGTATGATTACCAATTAAAACAAATACGATTTTTGATCCCTTAATTGTGTTAGAAGTACTTATAATCTAGACTTGTGTTAGAAGTTATAACTGTCCAGAAGTAGTTATACAACTATCCAAATCTATCAAACATTGTAATATAAATTAATACATACAAGATGTATGTTTTCTATTTTGTAATAAATATGATGTTGCATTAAATATATTTTGTAGTAAATCCTAAATCTTCCTGTTGTTTTAACTCCTTACAGTCCACTTCGGTTTACTCTTTGTTTTCTCTTTTCTTTTGCAACAAAATGGTCGAGCAAGGTGTGGATGTGTGTTTCTCGAATAGAAAACAGAAAGTGAAAGCGCATATCCAAATTGCAGAAAAACTATCCAACAAAAATCTTATTCAATGACTTCCAATATAATTTGTTGCAAAAATTACCATCATTGGAGATTTCATTGTATGTTTTGTACGAATCTGAAGATTTGTGGAACATATAAGAATGACATTCTCGAACTGACACTATTACAAACTGACACAATTGTTAAAGGGTTATTTTCCCATAATGCACATGTTATTGAATAAGCGTATATATACAATACAAACCCTTTTCGGCCAGGAAGTAATTAAGAGTGCCAAGGTTGGTCATGGCGAACTCTCTAACCCTACAAGAAAAAATTAAAATGAGTACAGAAATTTGCTATAGACGTACAATCCGTAGTTATTCTTCTACGAAATATGCTACAGAATAGCTTGTCGTAACTATTTTGCTATGGAATTTGCTATAGAATTGCATTTCGTAGCTAACATTTGAATAGCTACGGAATTAAAAACCGTAATTATCCTCTTATGGACTATGCTACAAAATAGCCAGACGTAGGCATATTTGCAACGGAATTAGCTACAAAATTACGTTCTATAGCTAATATTTGAATACCTAAGGAATTTAATTTGCTACGTAATCGGAGTCCGTAGTGATCATGTTACGAAATTTGCTAGAGAACTATAAGGCATAGGTATTTTGCTACAAATTTTACTACAGATCAAAGTTTTTAGTTATTTTTCTACAAAAATTGTTACTTAATCAAAATTTGTAGCTATTTTGCTACAAAATTTGATGCCGAATCTAAGTTCGTAGCTAGCTTGCTACAACATTTGTTACAGAGTCAAAATCCATAGTTATGCCGCTACAGAATTTCCTACGGGATCATAGGCTGTAGCTATTATACTATAAAATAAAAAGAGTAAATTACACGAATGGCCCTTAAGATTTTGTTTTTTCCCTAAAGTAGTCCCTACGGTATTTTTTCCCCTCAGATGGTACCTACGGACGTTAAGTTGCATGCAAATAGTCCCCGAGTTGGATGTCCGTCTATACCAACGTTAACTTGCCCCCATGTGCCTTGCACATGAGGGTATTTTTGTCAATTTACCCTAAATGACCTTTTCCAAACAACTTTCTAAGGCCTATATTACACGAATGGTGGTCTTCTTCCCCCAACTAGGGTAATATAGTATACCCATGAGGGATCTCCTAAGTGCTCATGCCACGTGATGAAAATGAAGTAATGTTGGAACTGTAATCTATACCACCAACACCAATAACACCACTTTGATCAGCAGGGTTGTTTAAAGTGCCATAATATGGTCCATCATTGCCAATTGCAGACACCATTATAATGTTGCTTGCTGTTAATTTCCAAACTTTCTCTACAAATGGAAGATTCATGTTGATCAGCAGGGTTGGTTGCGATTGCATAGTTGAATGTATCAAGAAACCATGATGTGTATGAAACCTGCAGTAAGCTGAATAGAAATTTATGACTCTTAACATAGTTTTGAAGATAGAAATAATGAGGAACTGTAGTGTATGTGTGTGTGTGTGTTACCTGCGCATCTGTAAACACACGGAAATCATAAGACTCAGCATCTGGTGCAAAACCTAAACATTCTGTGTTTTCACCAGCAATCACTCCAGCAACAAATGTTCCATGTCCAAGATTATCGTTTAGTGAATTCTCATTCGTCCAGTTTTTTCGTTCCTGAAGTTGTGAAAGAGAAATAAAATGTTAGAAGCCAACTTAAAGAGAAAGTCATGGAGTCCATCAAAGGGAATGATACCTTCACCATCAGTAAACGACATCAACGTGAAGCTCTTCCCAGGTCGCTTCCTCCCATCTACAAACGCCCCAACTCGCTCATACCTTTTCTTCTTCATTCCAGTAAGCAAGTTCCTAAAATGGTAACTCGAATCAACCCTAGCATATTTCACCATCTCCAGTGTCTCAAACTTCCTAATAACCGAATCAACAACGTCATTATCGATAGACACGACTCCGAAATCCGTGGAAAATTTAGAAGCAGGGTTGTTTCTGTTGATCCATTCCCAAGAACAAGACTTGTACGATACTTCATTGGCGTTATGCTCGAGATACGCCTTGTTTTCTTCCGCTTTCTTGTATTGGATGAATCTGACAATGTAGTTCTTGCGAGTGATCGGTGGTGGTGATGATTATAGTGATGGTGTATGGGTTAGGGTTTGGTTTTCTGATGGGTTGTTGAAGTGGTAAATGGAGATTGAGATGCAAAGGAAGATGAATGAGAAATTAAATTTGGGGGTAAGGATCTTCGTCACGATGACGCTCTAGTTTAACCGATTTGGTGGGAAAGATTCCTCATTGATAGTTGGATAGTTGGATTTGAAGAATTTTTTTTGGACATGGAATGTCGTCTTCCTTAGTGCCTTTAACAGTATATGAAAATTGAAATCGAAGGATTTTTTTCGAAGTTGTTAAACAAATCCAACATGACCTTAGAAAGTTGTTCAGAAAAGGTCCTTTAGGGTAAATTGACAAAAATACCCTCATGTGCAAGGCACATGGGAGCAGGTTAACGTTGGTATAGACGGACATCCAACTCGGGGACTATTCGTGTTCAACTTAACGTCCGTAGGTACCATCTGAGGGAAAAAAGTATCGTAGGGACTACTTTAGGGAAAAAAAACTTAAGGACCATTCGTGTAATTTAGTCAAATAAAACCATAAATATTATTCAATAGAATTTTCCCGAATGAAATTTTAAGTGTTTGGAAGATTATCAAGTAAAGTTTAAACCCTTAAACGATCTCAAATGACTAATGAATGAGTCACCAATACTATTCGTTTGATTTTATTGTTTGAAACAATCAACACCTGACACATTCTATTCAAGACTGAAATTTCTCTATCTCTCTCTATCTCTCTCTCTCTCTCTCTCTCTCTATATATATATATATATATATATATATATATATATATATATATATATATATATATATATAATATATATATACACACGCAAATTTATCATGCATATACTCCCTCCGTCCCAAAATTATAGTCCATCTTTCCTTTTTGGTTTGTCCCAAAATAATAGTCCACTTCTAAAAATACATAACACTTTTACCAAAATACCTCCTCATTATTACTTAACCAACTAAGCATTTAATGGAACATTAAATACAAAGTAATGACAAAACTGTCATTTAATTGTATAAAGTTTGTGGTAATTAATGATTCCTTAATCTGTGTGTTTTTTTGTCTGTGGACAATAATTTTGGGACAGAGGGAGTATAATAGAAGTTCAAAAGTTTTTAAGACCAAAGACCAAAGTCTTAAAAACAAGGAGGTACAATATAAACTTTAGATTTAATTTGAATGGTATGAATTCATTACGATAGTAGTGATCCATATGATAAGTTTAAGCCCATAGAAAATAAGTATTCAACTATAAAAACATAATATATCATTCTTTATACCTAAACTAACACATGTGTGTAACCGGATTACTTTATGTTTTTACATCTAGATATATTTAATATTTAGTATAAATAGGTACATAAGCTGGTCATTCTTCAAGACTCCCAATCTTTTTTTTTCTCTTCTGAAAATATGTTCCACCTCTTGAAACCGCTATAACCAAAACAATCAAACATGACCACTACCGGCCACCAACACTATAACCAAACGCCACCACCACTACAACGTTCTCTCCAATCCCTCAACACCTTCGACCCCACTGATACCCGCCACCACTAAACCGTCTTTGATCTGAAAAACCTTAGATCTACCATCGTCTCACAGTCACCACCACTCACATTCACGCCGCTTGCCGCCAATCAAGTCATTGATGTTAACTATTCCCTCCTCAACATTCAGATATAAGAAGCACGAAGAGGAAAGGAGTAGAAAGATGTGTGTATGTAAATGTGTTCATCATAAACTAACGCATGCGCCTCGCGATTTCATTTATATGCTATTTGATTCTTTTCTTCTTCTTTAACAAAAATACAGGCCATGAGGAAGAAGTAATAACCTATTTGTGTTTTTTTGTGCTGTTGTTCGACACCATAAACTTATAATGAGATATTCACTAGATTTTAGTGTTTCAAATGGATGATGGTTTATCAGTAGAAGAACAATGGGTGGTTCTAATTTCTACTTTCCTTTATACCCTTGTTTATTTTTTACTTTATATGTTTTTCTCTGGCGATTCTCCAAATTTTTGTACTTACAGATGTACATTTTCAACCTATATGTCAAATATGAGCTTTGTGATTATATTGTTTTGAAGGCTGGTAATGTCTTGTGTGTGGAAGAGGTGAATAAAAGGTTAAATTGTATACGGTTTGTTGTTTTAGTTATTATCTTTCACTGTCTTCTAATATTGATTTGTGTTTAAAGGTAGTTGCAACACTATAGAAGCAGTATTTGGGACACAAAACTGGTTTTTCTTAAAATATCATTTTTTGAAGCTCTACCTCAAGTGCTATAAGTGAAATCCGGACATTTTAGTTTGTGGATCAATTTTATTTTTTGATATCGTAACTTATTTATCCTTTTGATGTAATTTGAATAAATTTATAATTTACAAGTGTATAGTTTTTGCATTGCGAGAACGATTCGAGAATCATATTAGTCGTTTTGGACTTTTTGGTGCTTTTGTGTGATGTGTTGATTATTAACTACTTGGTATATTGTGTTAGTAACTAGAACTTGAATTATTTGTATAATTAAAATCACATATATGCTTTGTTTGTTAAGAAATTGGATAGCCGAATAAATAACAACATAGTTTTATTATCAATATCTCCATGATATTTGTGTTACTTTCACTTACGGTTCCTTTTTTTAACTTATAATAAGAATGATAAGATTATTTTTTATTTTAAAAT